CTTGGCTGGAACAGCAGTTGTGTCAAATTTAGTTTCGAATTTCAAAACACCCTAGAGACACACCTACATGAATTTACCCACTGCTCTTACCACTTCATACCCCAAAACACCTACCATGCCTTGACCTATTACCCATGAGATTTCTGATAGTGGACGAGTCTTCCAGTTTATAATTTCTAATTCCATCTTCATTCCTGAATTCTAAGTTTTGCCTATGTTTGTCCTTCTCTGATTACTACCTTGCTTCCCAGCCTTACCTTTTTTTTGCTTCACATAGTTTCTTACCTATCCTCAAGTCTATTGATCTTGGCCTCAGGGATCCTCTACTCTCTACTAGAAGCCATTTAAATAATCTGGTGGAGGCTAAAGTTTTTAGTCCAAAGCTGTAATGGGGGTTTGTTAGGCTTTACACAATGGATGAGAACAACCAATGAGACCTACAAAAGATGGCTGAAGTTCTAGAAACTGCTGCCCACACAGCCTGCTCTCCAAGCCTCGGGAGGATGGACTTTAATTCCGAAGGGGAGTGAGCTGGTCTAATTCATGTTCTCATCCTTGGTAAATGAATGACTGAAAAAAGAGATGAAAAATTTTCAAGTAGATAGCTATGAAGCAACATGAAGAAATATAGATGCAACTATATTCATGTCACCCTCCTTTCTCACAGACTTCAAGGTACATGGGAGGGTTGGATAGGACAGGAGAATGAGGAAGAAGCTGGAGACAGAGGCAGAAAGGGGCCAGAGGGAGGCACCAGCTTTCCAGGTTTTGAACTAGGCTAAGGCCCCAGCACCCCCTCTCCCCAAGAAGCTGTGCAGTGCAGTGGCTAGGAGTGTATGCTGAGCCCGCACAGGTAAGGCTTGACACCTTACTGGTTAGTAGTTGTAGAACCACCTTGGGGAAAGTACCAAATCTCGTTGAAAGATCCAGCTTCTTAGTAATCCAAAGTATGGTGAAAAGATATTATTGACATCATAGACTACAAAGAGGATTAAATAAGAATGTAAAACATAAAACCTAGTGCCTAATACATATTAGAAACTCAAGAAATATTATTAGTTGTCCACATGTACTTTTTTAAAAGAAGAATAGTGATTTTTCCTTTATAAATAATTTAGGTTTTAGGCTCAAAGTGCCATGTATACTTCTCTCACATACCAAGAAAATAAGTAAAGAAAAAATGATTTACTAATTTAACATTTTTTTTTTTAGGTATTTTCTAACTCTATGCTCAAACCGAGAATGCTGAGTAAAACAGTCTAGCAGATAATTATGGATCTATGGCAGAGGTCATAAAGGATTAAGACCTCTGTGACTCACTCATTTACTTATTCATTCCTGCATAATTTGCACGCCGAAGGCTAATTCAACGAGTCGTAATCCACCCGTACATTTATCTAGAAAATCAGAGTCAAGTCCTTGAGACATCAAAATATTTGTGGCACTGACAACACATACCACATACAGTTTATTTCTAAAACAGCTCATCATTTGTAAATTGTACATTTAAGAATTAATTTATTAAATCCACAGTGTTACACAGCCAAACAAATATTGACATGATGTATCATCACAATATGCTCTCAATAACAGTTTTTACATTGCTAAGGAGTTTTGCCAGAAAATCAGAGATTTATGCCAAAAACTGGCTCTCTGAATTTGTCTGCCAACCTTGGCCGCTGTTCTGCATCCAAAGACAAAATTACCACAACACCCTCTGTATAGCAAAGCAGATTATAGAGCCATAAACCTACTTCTTGAATGTTCAAAATTCTTTGTTGTGTGTGTGTATCTATATATACATATATACATATACACTGAAAAAGAGTCTAAGTGTGTCTATACAGATTATTGAATGCTAAATTTTTCAAGCCAAGTGAGATCACAGAAATGTCCAAAAGCAACCTATGAAGTATCCTTTTCCATTTTGGAAAAAATATTCCAATATAATTCTAGGAAAATGATAGCAAACATGTAATAATTTGCAGGGTGGTCTATAACCATGCAACCCTAGGAGCCAATCTCATTCTAACTTTGGACACAATAGCATAAATCTTGGCTTTCTTAACAGTAAAGAAAAAAAGAATAACACCAGTATTTGGTACAGAGATTAAGGATTAGATGAGATCATGCTAGTGAAATGCCTAGCACTGTGCCCAGCACATTAAAAAAGGGCTTGATAAACATCTTCATTTCCACACAATTATATCTTTAGTAGATTTTGCTGCTTCTGAAATGTTTGGGAACCAAAGATAAGGAAGTCTTGATTATATTTCATCTCCAGCATTTACCAATTCCCATGATACGGTTAATAATGAATATATATTTGTTAAAAATGGGAGAATGCTTTTCACTTTTAAAAGAGGTATTAATTCATTTCTGAGTCAAGAGTAAATTCTCTGCTACAACAAATGGTGAGGAATATATTCATTAACCAAATATTTTAGCAAAATAAGTTATTAGGCATGAGTCACAAATTGTTGCAATTTTCAAAGTTTTTATTCTTTTATGTAGTCTTTTGATCATAAAGTACTTATTATCTATTACAGGGAAGGTAATCTGGAGATCCTGTTTCAGTCACAATCTTACGCTTTTATAAAATTTATACTTTAAATCAGAGACAAATTTGGTAACTCTGTATTTAACAATTGCTACAATGGGGGAACGTCCAAAATGCAATGGTTGCTTAGAGAGTTAAACACCTAGTTCTGCTTGGGAGGAGTGAGAAAAGGCTCCATGCCTTTTAAACTTGAAAAATCAGTCCTAGGTTTTTCAGGAAGACCTCTGGAGAAAAGAAGCATGGAGGTGTGAGACCACAGTACACTGGAGATATTAAATATTTGTAGTTCAGTGTAGCTGCAGTGCAAATCAGTCATGGTAACAGAGGACTCTGAACATAGAGCAGTCCATGCAGGGTCTCACACGTCACATAGAGATTTTTATTCAGTAGGATCTGGACTAGTGGAACTACATGATCGTATTTCCATGTCAAAACCCGCATTACAGCAAGTGTGAAAGAGGGAACAGAGCGATTAGAAGCTTTTCTAATAGCATTTAGGAGAGGATGAGGGCTTTAACTACAGTAATCTTGAGATAGATTTTGTAAATGGAATCAATAAAACCTTGTGATGGGTTTGCTAGGGCAAAAGAAAGGAAAAAATTCTAATGAGTTCCAGATACCTGGTGTTGGCAATTTGGAGGCTGTAGCTAATATATTAGTTAGGCTAAACCTTTTGAGAATGTTTATTTCCAATGATGGTTTAATTATATAGCCTGATTAAAATAATGATTTATCTATCTCTAGTATTGTTAGAGTGTAGTTACAGAACTTCTGCGCTGGGGGAGCTTATGGGCAACAGTCTTGTTGGAAGAGCAGGTTACCAATCTTGTAGCTGCCTCTGCAGGATACATAAAATTATAGGAACATATATTGTCTGATGGAGCTGATGGCGCCACAGTCCTGTTCCCACTGTGCCAACCTACAGAGTAGCACCAGAATCCTAATTATCGTTGACTTTTACTTAATGTTCTATAATTTTAACATATTTACACCATCAAATTTATACCATGTATTGAAAAGTAATGCCACTCATGATTATTACACACATATTAGGTCCTCTGAAATAAGAATTGAAGTCCTAGACATTTTCTTTTATATTTTTAAATTTATAATTCAGTACAGATACAGATTTGGTATACTGTGGAGAAAAAAAAAAAGATACTAAAAAAATTCTCCTTGTCTGATGGAAAGAGTTCCAAAGCCATAAAAGGGATCAAATTCAAATCTCAATCTACTTAAGCCTTTCTTCTTCTGTAAAATGGGGTTAATAATTTGGAATTGTTGGGAAGAATGAGGGAGCATATCAAAGTATTTGACACATAGTAGAGGAGTTCAATACATTTGGATAAATTACATATGTAAAACACATACATGTGTACATACATATGTAACCACAAACTGTATAGTATGTAAATATACATATGTATATAGACACACACACAATTTACCTATATAAAAAATCTACCACTTTGTAAAGGGCCTTGGGAACACGTAACAATCAATTTAGAATTGCTCCATTAAGGTATTTTAATACTTCCAGGTTCAAAAATATTTCAATGCCTTGGGTAAAAGATATAGTAGATATTTTTAATATCTTAATTTGGGGAAAGGGGGCCTTCAAGGGGGACTGAATTTTCTTGCCATTAACTTTTCTTTCAAATAACTACTTTTAAGAAATAAAATATCCACGAAAACGACTGTACTTGAAACACTCTAAAATGAGGTTTTACTACCAGTGAGAGAGACTGTTAGCTAGTACCTCTGCACTTAGTCAGCTACTAGAGAACCAAGAAGTGGAATGTACACTTCCAAGGTTCTAGAACATATCCTAGTCACTTTGACACCTGACACCTTGGACTTATTTTTGTTCATCTACAAAGTGAAAAGGTTGGCCTTATCATTTTCAAACACAGCTGCACAAGAGGAATCACCAGGAATGCTTTTTATAAACAGAGATTGTTCTGTGACATACCAGATTTAAGGATTCAAAACTTTATGGGTGGTTTCTAGAGACCCTTATTTTTAACTCTCTAAGTGGCTCTGATAATCACTTATGTTTGGAACCTACTGGCCTACCCAATTACTATGAACTCTCTTTTTTATTCCTGAAGGACTGGCATTTAGAAGTATATATTCATTTCTATGACCAATGGCAATTAATCATCTTTGCACCCCCCCACCTTTTTTGGCAACATTTGTGATACACCAGCTCAACAGGTATGCTGATCAGGAGATTTAATAATGAAGTAAGACTAGCCAATACAGTTTACAGTATGACAAGTGTATTTTCATATGATATTAATTATGTACCAATAATGTATTTAAACAAAATATGATTACTTCAAAACATTCTGCACGAAGAATTTATAGATCACATTTATTTAATAACAAAATGTCCAGTTCTTTAGGAAAATGTGTTTAATTTAAATGTGTTTAATTTACTACAACAAAACTTTCAAAACCAAAGAAGAAAAATATTAAACAAATCACCTTATGGCACAGGACACCATAACTTACGATTTTGTTGTGGAAACAGGATGAAGGAAGTCTAAATTTAAAAATTCACAGAATGGGTATTCATAAATTTCTGGTTAACTGAGGCTTAATGACATTAAAAACCTGGGGTCTTTGAGCATCAGTTTTGTTTAGAAAAATAAAAACTTCCCCAAATATTAGAAGCATACTTTTCTACCTTCACGATTTAGAATCTTATTGTTCACTTGTCAAATATATGACAACATCTGGTTAATTTCTTAAACTTAACTACTAATGTCACCCTTGAGATGCTGACCCAGTTACATCTCCTTACACATTTTTTTCCCAATGAACCTAGTAGGGCCTATGACAGGGAATATAATTGAAACACACTTAGATAAAAATTGGTCTTAAGAGATACTTTATTCATGAATAATTCAGCAAGTACTTATTGAAAGCCCACTACACTTCCAGGTCTAGAAAGTGCATGACAGACACAAAGCCCGCCTCCAGGGAGCTCACCATCCAGAATAAAGCAGGCCAAGCACTGGCTCTGAATCACTATGAGCCTTCCTTTCATCTTTCAAGATTTGCATAGATATTGATTTCCTCTTTAAGGGCAAATAAACTCTTCCCTTATGCACATCATTCTTTAGATTATCATAAGGGGAATTCTGAAGTCTGCGTGTTGACAAAGCCTACACTTTGCTTTCTCTAATTGCCTTCTGCTCCTTCTGAAATGTCATATATTTTCTTTTCCTCTTCAGTTCTCCAAAACACACACTGCACTTCTGCCGATCCAGTTGGCTTGTTCTGTGATGCTCTCCTACAGCTTTCTGTTCCCCTTCATTGTGTCTTCTGTTTCCTTTCCTCCTTACCAGAAAACTGGTCATTAGGGTTTCCCCACTTCCTCACTTCTTATTCACTTCAGTGGCTAAACTTAACACCTCCTTAAATGCTGGGTCTTTAATCAGTATAATAATCAGCATTTTCAATTAGCATTTCCTAGAGCTCTGTTGTGAATTCCAGATCTTTCCAATACCCTTTTCCTGAATGTTATTTAGAAATACTAGCCTCAATAAGACAAGGGTTTCTTAAGGTTGTTTTAAAGGTTGTATTCAGAGACTGATAAAGGATACATAACTCAGCAAAGAATGGTTCTACTTTATTCTCAATTCTTACCAAGTACTGGATTCTGCAAGATCATAGTTAAAACTCTTTGGTGTGGGACATCAATTTTACACATAAGGGCTAGATCAAAAAATTCAATTTTGGGGTCTCTGATATAGTTTGAAACTTAAAAAAACCTAAATGACAAAAAGATAGTTACGTATTCATTGTTATGTCTATATCCTTTATCATGAACATACAATTAAGAATCAACTATTTTTAAGTGCACAAGTCAGATGCCATCAAGCAAACTGCCATGTATGACCCACAGTCCTTTTAAATTTTTAACGCAAATAGGAAGATTCAGTAAACTTTAATTTTCCAAATGTTCTCAGAAAGAGTTATCAGAAGCATCCACCACTTACAAAACACAGCTGGATAATCCACTTAGCCCGAATGAACTATCTGTATGTGTTGTGAGGTAGCGATGACAGACTATGGTCTTCTGTGGAGATGGTACCCTCTATACATAGCAGTCCCTCTTCACAGGAAGCGTGTGAATAACAAGAAGGGACAGAGTCACCCTTCATTATTTCATCAACTACTGGTGTTTTCATCATGTTTTAAATGCCTGACTTCAGTTTTACAACAATGCCAATATTTATTTGGAAAGGTCATCCTATGTTCCAAGTAGCAGATATTAACAACTTCCAACACGATCTCTAGGAATAATCCGCAGTTCTGAACCATGCTTTAGGAAAACATTTCCTACACAAACAAAATACAAAGTTATGTATTTAAAAAATGACAAGTTATCTTAACATTCCAACAATGATCATAATACAAGACACAAAAAAGTATAAACTAAGTAAGTACAGAAGCTCAAATAGCTTCAGACTAACTCCATGCTTTAAGGCTTATTCCCATTCCTCTCACATCTTCATAACCCAACCAAATTTCTGAAAATGTTAAATATCACTAGCCACAAAAGTGCTAACACATACACTCAGCAAACAGCAATGTAATTTAATCATCAATACTTGCTAATTCAATATACAATAAAATATCTAAGGACAGAAAGAACAGTAAATCTAAATTACCACAAATGACAAAGTTTAGCAACCTGATCTGACCTCTTTTTGCTCAATTGCTTGCTGAGATTTTCTTCACGGCCCATGATATGCACAATTCAACTTTTAAGGGTAATACAACAGGCAGCATGTCACAATAAGCAGTAACTCGAATTAATATGAACTACTGAACATTTCTACAGTAAGAAGAAATAAAACCTTTAAACCTAATTTTAAAGATATCTCTACAATAAAATGCTTCACGATTTTCAATAATCTTTTTAATAAAAAGGATTATATACTTAAAACTACGGATTTAAGTAAAAAAAACCCAAATTACAATTTTAAATCACTCTTTATTTTCTAGATGGCTAAATTTCAATTCCAAGGCCTTATGAGGACAATATAATTTTGTTATAATATGGAAGTACTTTAGAAATGATTTCAATGTAACTACTGCTCAAATTGAGATCACATTAAAGTATGCTTAATTATAAAACACTGTAATTAGATTATAAGCCAAAAAAAGGTGCATCTAAAAAATGTAAAATTACCTATCTATCAAGAAGTTTAAGATTACTTTTATTTTGCCTGCTTATTAGGACATCAACGTACAGCAAGCACAGTGTAATACTAAGTTTGAAGCTCTGAGTGTGGGCTAAGTCTCCTGAAATATTAACTGACTGTACTTTTAAAAAAGAACAGTTAACAGCTAGCACATACTGAATGCCTACTATGGATAATAATACAAACTTTTAAGCACTTCTCATGTACTATCAAAATCATTATTCCCATAAGAGTATGATCTTACCATCACTTTTTGTTCCATGTATTAAACACCTTTAATGCTTATTAGTGAGGTTTTCTCCTCCTTGTACCTGAAAGCATATATGCATCTGATATCCCCAAGGAAATAAATTATTGTTCAGAGACATAGCTAAGGACTCCTATATAATCCCTAAAAAATAACTATTATCCTAGTAAAAATCCCATCTAGTTGAATCAGAATGAACCACATGTATCAGTTGACATGCACAGCCCCACCCACATCTTCATGAGTTTCAGACAAATACTCACCAGCAGTCTGGGCAGGATTTATTCCTATTCCATCTAGAAAGTAAGTCATAAAATTATCTAAGTTGTTTACTTCTAAAGCTAAAATGGTTTAACAGTAATAAGAGAATTGCTACTATGGGATATATAGGCACAAGCCAAACAATTTAAATCCAAAAACAGGAATGACAAATTTTTCAGCTAAGTTACCTATTGAAATCCATTACTATTACCCACTTACACACACTGCTGGATTAGACAAGAACAGCTGTTGATGACATGATTCTGATAAATTCCACAGAGACAGTGTATTCTATCACACAACACCCAGTGAAAAATACAGTCAAAAGCACTTCAGGTATGTCCTTAATCATTTACATATTGCTCCTGAGGCATAAAATCTTAAGGCCAGGAGAGCCCACAGTCATTTAATTCAAGTTGCAGTGACACCTGATTAAAGTTTACAAAGCATTTTCTTAACAGCTCATTTGTAAATCTAAAACTTTCTGGAAAGTAGACTGGCTTTCTTTTCAGGTAGAGAAACACCTCAATTTGACAGCATACGGAATGTTTCAGAATGAGAAATTCTGTCATATATAAACCATCACAATTATTACTTGTATTCTAAGATATTCAGAATTTAAACTACAGATCTAATTGAATAAAATCCTCATCATTTCAAGCTTGTAAGAAATAGTTTACTGCAGGAAAGCAATAAAATGCTATAGCAAAGGTACTTTGCCATGTAACTTCCTATATTCTAAAAGTACCTACAACTTATTAAAAACAATGCACCTTGTTTAATAAAGGGAAAGGTAATTTTTACTAATAATCTGGCATGAATTGAGGACACAGATACTGTGAAGTGCTATACTATACCAGAAGCATAAAGAAACCGAAGAGAGCTCATTATGGACAATAACCTTGACTTAGTGTTTACAAAAAAGCCAAAGTGTTGATATAAATTTTGGCGCTTTTGTATTTAAGTCAATTTTAATTAATCTGCCTTTTAAATAATTTCTCTAGCTCTGAAGTAGTAGTTTTAAAATGAATTCTTACCATTGGTAATAATTGCACTTGTTGCTGCAGGAACTTTAAACTAAAAAGAAGAAAAAGGAAAAAAATTATTTTTTATCTTTATAAACATTTATGTAAAAATATATATTTATATACATAAACTACAAAAGAAGGTTAGCAAGGATGGGGTACATATAATCAACTCTATAATCCCAAAATGTGATTTATCTTTTAGGACAATGTCAACAAAGAAAATACCATAACTGGCTTATACTTAATGAACAGTATCTTTTTCTAAATACTGCATTTCACTGCATCTAGGACACCAAACATTACAAAAAAGGAAAAACACTATCAATAAATATACTCTTTCAGACTTGGGCATGTTAGTTTTATCATATATAACTCTCTTGTCTAATTGAAAATAAAACAATAGCTTAGATAGTTTCTAAAATTTCTCTATAGAAACAGTAAGGTCAAACAAATGCTCTCTTGTATTTAATGGAAGATGAACCAAAGCTCAAATTCCTTCCTCAAATTCTCCTATGAATGTATTGCTGACTTATATTTCACAGGATTGCAAAAGTCTAATTGTGCCACCAGGAAATAACAACTAAGGTCAAGTAGGTGCAGATGATGTCCACTAGACAATTATGTGACTGCTAAATGCTAATAGTGAGGGTAAGACTTCACTGATCTACTTCCAGAGGTGTAAAAAGATGCGTTTTTTGAATATATAAAATGTGGTATAGAACTTATTGGTAGCTAAAGAGAGAAGTCTTCTCTTAATTCTTTAGAGACCAGCAGTTGTCAAAATGCGTTCATGTACTCATAAGTTCATTCATTCATCTAACTCATAAGTTCATTCATTTACCTAACAAATATTTATTAAGTACTTCTACGCTAGAGACTAGTTTTATAGATATTACAGTTGAGTTTTATGATCAAATAAATTTGATGCAGCTAATACAGTTTATTTAATGTCAAGAAGGATTTGGTGAATGAAGTATTTCCCATACTCTTTCGGCCACAGATTCTAGTTTTTCATGGTTTTTGTTGTTTCAGTGGTTCTAGTGGTCTTGGAAAAGTACTCAGGGAAATGCTGCTCCAGGAACTTATAGTGATCACATATACATAGTTAAGAAAAACAACTAAAGTTTATTTTAATAAACTGTAAACTTTAAAAAAAAGTTTATTTTAATTTATAAATTAAAAAGTTAGGTTTTAAAATAAAAATTTATGCACAAGAACATAACATGTTACTGGATTATGTACCTAATAAACACATAACTTTCCTGTCCAGATGGTACATTTTTATTTGTAAATGTCCTTTTAAGGATTTTTTTTTTTTAAGATTTTTTTTTTATTTATTTATTTGACAGACAGAGATCACAAGTAGGCAGAGAGGCAGGCAGAGAGAGAGGAAGAAGCAGGCTCCCTGCTAAGGAGAGAGCCTGATGCGGGGCTCGATCCCAGGACCCTGAGATCATGATTGGAGCTGAAGGTAGAGGCTTTAACCCACTGAGCCACCCAGGCACCCCTCCTTTTAAGGATTTAAAAAAAATTAAATAAACCTAACTTAAAGTAACTTCAAAATATGCTTTAATATTAAAAAACTTCAAGAATTATTTATAGAGATTGTAATACTTAATAAAACTTTGAGCAAATTAAAAAAAAAAAAAAAACTTTGAGCAAATACCCAAATTAATTATAGGACACCTCAGATTTCTAAAACTTGAGCATTACAAAGTTTCTAGTTACCCTACTGGGTATCTTATTCTTTGATTATGTCCATTTTAGGATAAGCTATGCATTTTTAGTCACAGCCATATAGTGGCAGCATATTTATGAACATTAAAAATAAGCAACTGCTGACATAATTCTTCCCTTTTCCAGAATGTAGAAGGAACAGTTAAGCAGACATCTGGGGAAGCATCACTAGTGATGTAAAATTCAGCAACTATTATGTTCATGCTACACTACTGACAAGTTTTCTTCTGGATGCAAAGTATTTCATGCTCCTAAATTTTCATTTCTTTCCTTTCTCAGACCCCCCCTAATCTTTTAACTTAGGATGTTAAAAGGCTATTCTTAGGTTTTTGACAACTCACTACTTACACTTACTTAAGCTAATTCTTAATCCTATTGGGGAATTTTCTTATTTTTTAAAAAATATTTTATTAGGAATTTAAATCCACAGGTTCAGTTTATCAACACTTGTCCTCACTGTAAGAGCCTATGTCTCATCTTATGAAAGGCCCCCTCATTGCTGCCTCGAAGTCATAACCTTTCTAAATGTATAATACCCACGATTCATAAGTTATAAGCTATATTAAAACCTCAATAAATATACGCAGTAATGTGAAATTTGTAAGTTTATTTTCTATTGCATGTCTGTTATTTTTTACACTTTTACTAGAAGACCAAGATCACAATGCCTTTGCCTTACAAAAAACATATATAACTACAAAATACAATAATAAAAACTTAATTATAACTCAAATTGACCTACTTTTTAAATTGTAATTTGTGGGATCTCTCCTATTCCCCAGGACCAGGAATGTTTCCTGGAGGTGATCTGTGCAGCAGAAAGTAATGCTAATGCTGTTTCCTAGATCTTTTTAGTTATTCTTTTTTTTTCCTTTTTAGTTATACTATATGGGTGAAAAAGATAAACACTGACTATAAAACAAGTGCTACCACTTTTCAGTTTAATTCTGCAGGAATGATAAATAATGTTAGTGGTTCTGGACAATATCTATCTGTAAATACTGATGGGTTGACTGATTTTCCATTAATAGCTTAAATTCAGGATAGGATTATGCATCAAGCTAGTTTATTTAGGTACTAAAATTATTATTCTGTGACTATAAACTTTTTTGAAGATTCTGAATCAAAACATTTGGCATTTGGATTTGAGTTACTCTAGATTTGTACAGCACTTTCAACTTCACAAAATACCATAAAGGCAGTTATATTTTTACTCAAAATCATTTAATCAGACAGGAAAGATGGATATTAATTACTCCCATTTTACAGGATATGAAATGTGAAGAAAAATTAAGAGGCTTGTCCATGTCATACAGATAATTAATGACACAATTAAGTCTCTCAAGTCACAGTTTTGTGCTACTTCCACCAGACCAAGCTACTCTTGTAGTGTTATGTCCAAAGAGTTGTTTTATGGATGCATCTGATAACTCTGGATGAAAAAAAAAAAGATCTTTTTTTTTAGAACCAAAAACCTAAGAATGTTTTAAAAAGAGTAGGCAGTTGACAGGCTCAAACAGAAAACTTGAAAATTATGATGAAGACATTAAAAAATTTCTAATTCTATAATCAAAATGAGTAAAAACAGGCTTACAGATTACACTGTAAAATGATGTTGCTGGTTAAAAAAATTCCCATATCCTCATATCCCATATCCTCAAACCTTTCCATATAACTTTTCCTTATAATTTTCAATTGTTGCATTAAATAGAGATTTGTTTAACTCATTCATCCTACTTCTATAAATCTTAACTTTCACTTACGTTGGTAAGTAGGGCTTAACTTTTTGATAGCATGAACCTAGTAATGAATTCACATGGATGTGGTGGGTCAAAGTACATGCAAAATTTAAAGACTTTTTTTTTTTTTTTTTTTTTTAAGATTTATTTGAGAGAGAGAGAGAGAACAGGTGGGAGAAGAAAAGAGAAACTCAAGCATATCTGGGGCTCGATCACAAGACTCGAAGACCAAACTGAGCTGAAACTGAGTCAGACACTTAGCCGACTACGCCATCCAGGTGCCCCCAGACTTTTGAAAAAGATACTGCTAAACTACATTCCATACAGGTTGTTCCAATTTCTATACTTACTTCTTCTGCTGCAAACTTTAGGACTGCTGTGAAAGGTGTACTTTCAGGAACACTAAGTCTGCAAGAAGAATGAAAAAGAATTTTTTAAAAAACTGATTATTCTTAAAGCCCCTCGTTCCTTATTTTGGCTAATGTAGTAGAGCTGGCCAAAGCTGTCTTTTGAGGCTGAAGGTTGTCTACTTTGCACACTATGTTCATTAACTTTAAAATGACAAAAAAAAAAAAGCAATTAATTTCATAACTGAGATGATGTCTACAGTTCCACCTAAAAATTAAACTATATAGGTGAAACTTAATATATTTTGATACAAAGAGGTCTAGTATATAGGCTGCTGCTTGTTTCCACAAATGGATTTCAAAAAGTCAAATCTCTCCTTAGCTGTCAGTCCACTTTACCATCTCCAGTCCAAATACCCCTTCACCTGATGCATCAAAGTCACCATTTTCATTGTAAAGAGTCTAGCTTAACGTCTTCAGGAACCTTCTACTGTTTCTAGATTTTAATAATCAAGTCTGAAATAGTGGATTAAATTATGAAAATGAGTATGTTTACTATGATAAAATGTGAAGTGACTTTCTACCTTTATATCATCATTAGAAAAAAGGGCTTAATACAAACTGAAATAACATTTTGGAAATGTAATGTGTGATTTTGTTATTAACTTGTACAGTGTCAAGTATAAGAAAGATTACTGATAAATGGTCAATCTGTATGAATTTTCCAATTTAAAAACTGAAAACAGAATTGACATTATACCCCAAGAAAACACTTAAAAACACAGAAAGAGGTTAAAAAAATATAAAAAAAATTCCTAATGTGAAATAAATAAAAATGATTCAAGACTGTAAAACAGATTATCTTTAAAGCAGAGAAATGGCTGGTAATCTAACATTTCTCTTTGAATACTTGTCACCACCGTACTGTGCTTTAACGTTTTAATAAATTATCATTATGTAATACCTTAGGGATGTGTCCCATTTCTTCACTTAGTTATAGATTACTGAATATAAAGAATCACTAGCTACCACAACATATTATAATGACTTCCAGTAGGAGAAGTGTGAATCAGACTGAGACGGTCAAAGGTATATTTAATTCATCCCATATATTCATTTGATTTAACATTTCTATAACCTAATGGTACTACCAAGAGTGAATTTATCAAAAAACAAAAGACAAAACAAACAATAAAAACTCTGACATCCCCCAGAATAAATCTGGAACCGTTAACATCCTTTTTAGAATTCAACTATTAGTAATGTTAGAAACTCAAGGGACTTTTTTTTTTTTTTAAATCAAAGCACACATTTACTGGCTTGGCAAGTGAAAAGTGATACTAAAAAGTCAAAGTGTGTTCTCCCACAAGTTTTAAAAAATTGCATTTAACAGTACTCAAGTACTAGTTACCAATTACTCTGAATAGGATACACAGCATATTAACCTTACATACATGCACACGTTATACCTATTTTATATACACACACACCCATACACAGATTATACATACACACATACTACATAAACAACAAACAGTAGGTATGCCTATCATATTTATTCAGTCACCAGTATTAACTGAACTGGTACAAAGTTCCAGGTACTCTTACAGATACTACTGCTGCCCTACCTCCATCTTACTTTTTTCTTAGATATTTATATGGTGATGAGAATAACCCAGTAAAAAGGGAGAAATCGAAGATGATGAGGAGACAGGGATCTCTGGACTCCATCTACTTTAATCTTGAGAAGACTAAAATAAATGATGTCTAGAGCCCAAGTGGTACAGCTGGCTTTTCATAGGAATAAAGTCAGGTTATCCTTTCTAACAGGATGGTGGACAGAAATTATGGGTTTATAGACATAGTAGCAGCTTTACATATGTGATGATGGAAAGACAAATCTTCCTCTCATAGCTTCAGAGAAAGGGAAAAGTACTGTGGAAAGTATCAAGACTTTTTTTTTTTCTTTTTTTAAAATCCTCTCAGAGAATGAAAAGAAAAATAAGCAAACTTGGGAACTGTAGCAGAGTGTTAGGTACTACTGAGCATAGTTATGAATTTTACACAAAATCCATCAGCCTAACTGTGTAATTTTCTCTAAAGACATTCAGCTATGTACAGAGATCACAGTAGCTGAGTGTTCAGAGTTGGTGTTTCACCAAGCAAAACATACTGAGGAGAGGAGGACACCAGAGATGAGGTCAGTGGACCACTAGATAGAGTGGACCGTGGACTCTGTGAGAGTTAGAAAAAGAACTAGGTAAAGCAGGGGAAGAGGGTAGTGACAGATGTAAAAAGCAGTCTGATCAATGAATTAAAAGAAACATTTTTTTACAGAAGAAATATTAGAGCACATTAGATACAAGAAGACAATGTAGTCATTCACAAGAGCCTACTTAAAAATGACACCTTAGCTGGAGCAGTTACTGAAGAAGACCTTAAGGTTTTAGGCTGTAACTGTGAATATTTGAGATGAGGTGAAAAAGATTCATGTGGGGAAAAAAAAGCTTAGTTGTATTAACTATGCCTAAAATCCTACTGAAGTCTTGTCTTTTGCTGCATTTTATGCGACTTCCAGCTGCAATAACCTCAATCATGTTTATCTAAGAAAATTCCAGATGACTATGTAGTTAAGCCTGTGCCAAACCATCATTAAACTGCTAAAGGAGAAAAAAGGGCCTCGCGTGGAGTAACTGCCCTATGTCTGCATTTCCCATATCTGCTAATCACACTTTATTAAATCCCAACATACGAAGTGTATGATTTGAGGCTCATTACTTTGTGACGCCCGACTGTTGAGTCACTCACACAGGAATCAGAAGCCGGACAGTGATAAACGTTCAAGTAACTACAGAATCTCAACTGGGCGGTCTTCCCTACTTCCATTAACAGCCGGTCAAAGCGGCAAAAGGCCTTTCCAATCAGGAGCCGATAGGGACTCCTTTAAGGAACACAGCAAATCATCAAAACCGACTACACGTCCTCCCGCTCCAAAACCCACCATGGAGTCCCGAGGACAGGTCACCTATCAGCAACAACGTTCCCGTCACACGCCCCTGTTCCTTCGCACCGAAGGAAGTGGACACTCAGCGGGGCAGGCGCCGGATATCTCCTTTCAGGCTGGGGCGGGATGGGGGAGGTTTCAGGAAGAGCGAAGGAGGGGGGGAAGGGACGGGATACAGCCTGCTGGGGCGGGAGAGGATCTGAAGGCCAGCCTGGCCCCCACCCCCGACCCCCAGTCCGCAAGGCCCACCGCCGCCAGCATACTCACACTTTGTAAGGCAGCCGCGGGTCCGACGTCAGCGTGATCTTAAAAGAAACCTTCGACCTGAGGAGGAGAGCGGGAGAGAGTTAAAGTCGTGCAGCGGGACCAGGGATTGAGATCCGGGTCACCAAACACTTACATGGTGGGAACTCCGGGTGGAGACCCCAGCCAATTCCGCGTGGACTCCCACTTCCTCTGCTCTGCCCGGGAACGTACCGCCCCACTCAAGTCCACGTCTCGCTCAGCAATCTGGGGGCCTCCAAAGTTGTGTCGTCTAAGGCAGTGCCTGAAAATAGGTTCCTGTTGTTCGTGGCAATAGGAGCCTCCAACTCACAAAGAGCTACTGATTTTACATTTTAAGCCCTGAGACTAAATCACGGATAGTATGAAAGAAAATATTTCTAACTGCGGTTATATTCTGTCGTATTTTCAGTCAAGCAATATAAATGTGGGTAGAGACGGCAGGACTCTAGGTCCCAGCTGGCAGCTTGGGGCGGAAGTAAGAGCACAGAGTAGGCGGGCGCAGAGTGAGGCGTGGCGAGGGGCGGGAGATAGGCGGGTCTAGAGCAGCGTTCCACGATGTTGCTAAGGCAACCTGTTCTTGGAAAAACTGGACTGTTGAGTTCAAGAAACTGGAATCTTCACCCCGCTTTAGTGTTCTTATTCTTCTGTCTTCCCAGCAGTGCAACACTCTTAAATCTTGTATTTCCAGTTTTCCCCTTTAAAACTTTACAATACCGACGTCTGACTATTTTCAACAGACACCAGAGTTATCAAGTTGGTGAGACAGGCAAGATCTCTGTGTTAGAGGAACTTGGACTGTATGAAGATGGAAAGAACAATTCATGAACAGGATTCCAATAGTTTGTTATATAGTCTGATGAGAACTAGGGTGCCGATCATCAGCACATTTATTCAATTTAGTAACAAACTTTGAATTCTTTCTATGTGGCAGGCAGTAAAGCGAAATACTGGGGATGCTGGAATGGGAAGATAGGTGACAACCCTCTACTATCTAACAAATTCTTGTATGTGAAGACAGACTGAATGCTCTCCAAATCTAAGCATCTGTGTTTGCAAAATAAAGATCCCTCTCACAATGTCTGTAATGCCCATTCTGAGAAATATTGCAATGAATGACAAAATAGGAAACAGGTAAGTACTAAAATAATGAGGAGATCTAGTTAATTTTTAAGATATTATGTTTGATTTTTAAGGAGAGATATCTAAGAGGAATAGGGAAGCAACTGCAGGAGGAATCTTAAAGACCCAATTTCTGTAATTCGGTATCTGTATCTGTCACCCTGGGGTGACAGCTCCCCAGGGCGAGAGTGCTGACTCTGATTTAGGAAAGAAAGGCTTTGATATTCTTGTGACACTCACTGTGTTCTTCACTTATAAAAATTCAGGTCTTGCCATAGAGAGAGAGCTGGAGGCAAATGTTGATTGATAGATTTGGAGATTGACAGGTATAGCATTAATAGCTGAAACTATGGGATTAGTTGGTATGACTAAAATTTTTGAGGATAGCAATAAGAAGAAAACTACTGATTGTGTCTACCTGGTGTCAGATAGCCAAACAATGAGATTAAAGTATATACTTTACAGTCTTTATTTCTAAAAATACGTGTATATATTTAAACAATATTTGCATCTTGTTATTTATAGTTTTATTTCTGCTCATGTATAAAGACATGTCATAAAATCCTGAAGAGAAAAAATATTTTGTTTAGAGTTTTTATTGTATTTACAAAAAGTAGTGAAGACAAGATTTAATTCCAGGCAGTGTGACTTTAGTACTCACATTTCATTGCCTCTTTAGAAAACATATTAATATATTATATCAAAAGGACAAAGGAAAAACATTGTGTTCAAAAGATATTGAAAAGTACTTATTCTTAAATGTTTAGAATTCCTTCCCACCTCAATAGCTTAAACCTCCTTCCCATATATTTGTATCCTCAGAGTCACAGCATAATTTCTAGAGCCTTCTGTGTTTTATTTTCTTGATACAAGAAAAGAATTGATAAGTAGATTATTTATACTTAATATTTTTTGTTCTTTTTAACTTTGCTAGGACATTTAGCAAAATTTGGCAAATATATCAGAAAAAGAACCTTATTTACTGAAACATTGAAGTGCTGAAGTACATTTAATGACCATAAACAAAAGCAAACTCTGGGTTTTAGGAGGTAATTGGCAAATGTGACATTTTAAGACAAGGAACAGCATAAATGGCCTAATGTGTTTCAGAAGGGATCCAATTAGTATCATGTAGAGGCAGAAGTGATTATAGAGTACACAGTATGACCATATTAGAACCCATTAAATATAAATGAAGTATACCAATGTTCTGTTTACATAGCATATAAATTTCTCATTATTAGAAAGGAATTGGAGGGAAATTAAATTTGTATAAGAACTAAAAAGATTTGCTTATGTAGTCATAAAAATCCTTCTATCAGCATATCTGTAACCAGCTTTAAATAAGATAGAAAACATCAGATTTGGAAGCAAAAAAAAAAACTGTCTTCCTAACTTTTTTACCCTAATTTGACTATATATATATTTTATATTTTATGATATATTTTATATTTATGATTATAACTAAAATCCCCTGATATTCTAATTATGTAATCCTGAAAGGTTTTCACTGGGATAAATCTGAGGATCTTTTACTCCAAGCATTTCATATTATAGGAAACAAATTGTAGTCTGGCCAATTGATAATGAATGGATATTTTTATTGCAGTTTAATTTGGTTGTTTTTTTTTAAATTATCTTTACTCTTCCTACAATCCTCTACGGGACAGTGATATCACTGGGTCAGTGATAATAATAACGGCTCAACATTTATTAAAATTAACTTCATGCTAAATATTATCTTCAACATTTAGTATAAGGGGAATCACAAAATACAGACTTTAAACTTCGATTGCCCTTAAGTTATTAATCAATGACAAGAAACCTTAAATGGGAGAGTTGATCTGGTAGACAAAAGTACTTGGGAATATTTAAATGCTATGTTGATCATAAGATAAGGACTATAAGTTTACATCCCTGAGAGCCAGAGAACGATGAAATATAGGAGATTAGAGCCTGGTAAGGCCAGGCAAAGTCCTTAGAGGAGATCACAGCTCTAAATGTGCTGCACATGATTATTATTTATTTTATTTATTTATTTATTTTGATTGAGAAAGAAAGAGAAAGAGCCAGAGAGACTGTGTGAGAGATAGGGGGAGGAGCAGAGGCAGAGGGAGAGAATTTCAAGCCAACTTCCCCCAGAGTATGGACCCCATACAGGGCGCTGATCTCACCACCCTGAGATCATGACCTGAGCCAAAACCAAGAGTCAGATGCTCAATGATGAGCTACACAGGCACCTCTTGTTGTGATTCCATACCCTTCCCAAATATTTCCTGAAATTAAATGAGGGAAAAAAAGGACTTTTCCTATGATGGTCATTGTTTGACTATAAGCCTTGTAAATGTGAGACCTAATCACCAGACTTGGAATATTTTAATTACAGAATTTGTAAAATACTTTCATCTGAGAAAACATTTTAAATTGTAAAAAAACAACAACAACAACAACAACAAAACAAAATAGGAACTTTCCAGTCTTGTATAATTAAATTTTCTCTCTAAATATTGTGCAAATTATTTGTTTAATGAGAACATTACTTGTTAAAAAAATTAAAATAACCTCTGACAGATTTCTCCAAAGACAAGATTATGGTTTCTTCTACATATATATATATTTACTCATTTTTATTCTTCCAATAGCTATGAGGTTAGTACTATTAATATTCCACTTTTAGAAGAAGAAAGTAGCACACTAATTAAAAGACTTATCTTAAATTAAGTAAGTAATTAAAATGAGATTAAACTTAGATATCTGATATTAAAACTTGGTTATATTCATCACAAGAGTTTAAGGATCTGAGCCATATCCTTAGCTAGTACGCAACAATACTTTGAGGTAGCAAATATTGTTCTCCCTCTTTCACAGATAAGGAAGTTAAGAGAAACTAATATTTTCAAGGTTACCAAACTAGTAAAGTGCCAGAGCTGGTATTGGAACCCTGGCAGTTGGATTGATAGCCTACACTTTTCAACATGATATGCCTCAAATCTATGGGCACTTATTTATAAATATTACACTTACATCATAGATACTCTGTTTTTCCCACTTCAGTCTTGAAGTCAGATTTCTTATCCTGTGCCAAGTATAACAATAGTTATTCTTCTCATATAATTGTAGAACCATTTTATATTATGTTGAAAAGGAATTCAGAGAGCTCAGTAGAGACAGTACAGTTTTGAGAAGAAACCAGAAACAGAAGAGTACACACTGAATGAGACTATTTATATATATATGGTTCAGATCAACATAATTAATCTATGGTGTTAAAAGTGATAATGGAGGTTGCTTTTGTGGGGATACAGTGATGAAAGTATAAAAGGAGCTTCGTGGGTGCTGATAACATGTTTCCTGACCCGGGTGTTGATTATACTCCTGTATTAACTCTGTGAAAATTCATCACTTTGTTATACTTAGGGTCTATGTTCCTTGTGTGTATTCTATTCCAATAAAAGTTTATCTTCAAATATTCTAAAGACTAAAAGAAGAAAAAAAAGTTACCAAAAAATGGCTGGGGGTAATACTGGAATTTTAGTGGACAGGTTGTCAGAGGATGAGCAATGGTAAATGCAAAGAGTGGGAAAGGGTAAAATAGTGTATTTTCAAGGTATGCAAGTACAATGGAAATCAAGAAGAGATTTACTTTCCATTTTTTCCTGGTACTTTTCAAGACTTCTTCAGCTTTTTGAAAAATCATGTAATCAACTGCTACACTTTTCATGGTATTTGAATTTCCAATCAATGCAGCAGTATCAAGGTATATTTGTGGCTATTATACTCATGATTACCTTACACATTGGTACAGGTATTATCCACTTCACTATAACAGCTTCATTTCACTTCACTGATAGATTTTTTATGAAACCTATTTGAAAGCACATGTCAAATTATTATAATTTACTTTTATTTCTCTTATACATTACAGTTAGGACATGATACAGATTTTTTAAAAACTATGTGTGTAGGTAGTTTGTATTATCCAGGAACCTGTATTCAGGATTAAAAAGAGAGCATTAAAATATTTCCAATAAAAAAGGGGCATGAGGAAGCACTGATTTATATAATGCAGAATATTTATAATGGACACTAAC